AAGTATTTTAAAGTTATCTTGAGTTCAAAATTTGAGTCTAAGGATATGTAACTTTGGAAAAGAGGTTCTGCTTTTGTTTCTACAGAGGATGGGAATTTGTGGATTCTTTCCAGGCAAATATGGTTGATCAAACCAGACCCCCTGAAGCAATGGCCCAGGTGATCCCAAATCCAGAGCAGCTGAGATGATGCAGCCTTAGAGACTACTACCACCAGGATTTGGCCATGGTTCTGGGTTTTCTCAGAATCCCCATGAGATTGACAGTGCCCCCAGTCCACAGGAAGTCTAGAGAACCACGTCCAAATCCCCAAATACTGTTCATAAATATTTGTTTTCATTTAAGAGGGGTGATTATAAATGGTTAATGGTCATTCTCAATCTCTTTCTAAAGAAAAAATAGGGTATGATATGGAAATGAATACCTTGGTATAGATTTTGGTTTATTGTACAAATATAAAGTCAATTTTGTTATACTGTCTATATTTCTACTCTTGTTTAAGGTATTTTAGTTTATAGTTAGAGCTAGCCAGTAAAAAGCCTAAGACATTGGCCAAACAGTTGTAACTGATATTAAGCCTCAGAGTGGTTATTTCATAAGTGGCTTCGGGAATAGGCAGGCAGAGAGAAACCAGTGCAGTGGGACCAGTGGGACAGAGGAGATGCAAACCATATGGGGTCCCTACACCGAGATGAGGACCCAGTGTCCTACCCCTAACTAAGGAGCTATCTGCAGTGGATAGCTACAGGCAAAGGGAAAGTGATTTCTTTTCAATGGAGTTTTTATTCCTTTTTTTTTTTTTTGAAAGAGAGAACAAGAACATAAATTTGGGTGGATAGAGATCAGGGGAGGATCTTGAAGTAATTGGGAAAGAGGAAAACATGATCAAAAGATTTTATATACTTTTTTTTTCAAAAGAAAAGTGTGGGGTAGTCAAATGCATCTGTAACCCAAGCAGTGGATGGACACAGACAGAGTCCTGGAGTCCACTGGTCAGCTAGGCTAACCCAATTGGTGACCTCCAGGTTTTTTCAGAGTCCTGATTCAAAATATAGAGAATAACTGAGGAATAATCCAGTGTCAGCTTTTCCCTATATACATTCATAAGTGCATATGAACCTGTACATCCATGTATTCAGATATAAACACACACACAAGATTACACAGCTGGCTGGGCGGTGGTGGTGCACACCTTTAATCCCAGCAGTTGGGAGACAGAGGCAGGTGGATCTCTGTGAGTTTGATGCCAAAGCCTGTATCAAAAAACCAAAAAAAAAACCATCAACCAAAGAAGATTACACAGCTGATAAATCAATAAAGCGGGAATTTGAGTGCGAATCTTTTAGATAAGTGACTGTCTCAAGAAAGCCAATGTTTATATGATTAACTGTGAAGCATGTATTCTCCAGTAAACAGAAGAGAATCTATCCTAAGTTCTATGGTCTTATCAAAAGAGCACAGGGCTGAATTTCACAATTACAGCTCCAGTTTTGAACCTTAGGCAAGAATGATAAGCAAACTACACGTCAATTAGAACAAACATCACCCCTCCCAATCCCCACTCTACTTAGTTTGTAATCTCTCTTCCTCCTCCTCCCTATGTAAATGCTTTGTACAGCAGCACGGGGCTGTTTCTCCTTCTAAGACCACACATGCTCTCCTTCCTTCACACCACCTGCTCTAGTGTTTTTGATAGACCTTAAAGCCAACCTATATTCACTTTCAGACATCACTGTAGCACTTCGGCAGTAGAACGAGTACTTTAGAATAACGCAATAGTCCTCCTTCCCTTTTCGTTGCTGACACTGATATTTAAAAGACTGACGACTGCTGCTGTTATAGTTTTCAGCACAATCTTAACTATGAGGTCAGTTGAGAGCAGTAAGAGAGGGCTGGAGAGACTGTCTGCAGTTAGGAGCCTTGTGGCCTTTCCCAGGGGCCTGAATTCAGTGCCCAGCACCCAGGTCAGGCAGCTCACAATTGCCGGTATGTCACTCCAGCTCTTTGGAATCGTATACTCTCTTCCAGTCTCTGCACCCACGTACACGGGATGTATGGGATACAAACATACATAAATAAAATAATTCTTTTAAAGAACCGTAAGAAAAGTAAGATTTTTAACTCATTCCCACCTGTTTCACAAACTGCTCTCTCTGCGTTCATCTGAATTTCGGATTCATCTCATCCTTGCTTTCTGCAGAACTTTTTACAGCATTTATGAGAGATAACTGTTGATGGCTTTTATTTTTTTAAAGAGTCTTTATTTCTCTTTCTTTAAAAAAAAATAAGGTTACAAGTAGTCCAGGCTAGTCTGGACCCTCATACAACTGAGGCTGACTTTGAACTCTTGGTTCTCCTGCCTCTACTCCCTTCACTATTTGTTGTTGTTGTTGTTGTTGTTTTGTATTGAGACAGGGTTTTATGTATCCCATGCTGGACCCCAAACTTAACTAAATAGTTGAGGATGACCTTTAACTTCTGATTTGCCTGCTTCTGCCTCCTTCATTTTTGAAGGATCCTTTCACAGAGTATAGAATTCTAAGTCATGATTTCCCCCCCTCTCAACACTTCACATTCTCCGTCCTGCTGGCTTGCTGCTGCCTAGTTTCTGAGTTGGTTGCAGTTTTTTTTTCTTTGCTCTTCTACGAGTGAGATGTTTTCTTCTCTACCTTTTTTCAAGATTTTTTTTTCGTTATTTCTAAATGATCTGGCGTATTTCAATATAGCTGCTTTACCACATTTCCTTCTCGACTCCTCAAGGGATTTTTCTGGTACTGAAGGACCCCAACTCATTTTAGCCACAGTTATGTCATTTTGCAAAGAAGCTCAGTTCAGAGAAGGGCCCCCGGAATGCTGAGCAAAGCAGGATACCTGAGGTCAGAACGAGGACAGCCTTATCAGGCTGCAGGATAGGGAATTTATGGTCAGACATTTGGTGAGATACCCAGGACAGCCTTATCAGGCTGCGGGACAGGGGATTTATGGTCAAGACATCTGGCCAAGGGGGAAACAAAGACTTCAAAAGACTGACCATATATGCTTGAGATAGGGACAGGTCAGTTATCTGGTTTCTTTGGTCCAGGTCAAGGACCACGAGGCCTGCCCTCAAATTCACCCCTCGCCTCATTCAAACTGACCAATGGGACTCCTGTAACCACGCTTTTGCTTCTGTAACATTGCTTCTGCCTATATAAAGATACCCCAAGACGTAGCTCGGTGTGCTCAGTTCTCCATGTGACTGCAGCACCCACAGGCCTGTGAACATTAAAGTTTGCCTCTTGTTCTTGCATCCAGTGGCTCTCGGACCTGGTTCTTGGGCACGGGTCTCCACGCGTGTGAGACACCCTCTGGGTGCTCTTTCAGTACAGGTAAAGCTGCTGGAAGTAAAATTCAGCAGGGGTGGGAATCCTCCATGACTGGGTCCCTCCTGGAGTTGCTAACTCTCAGATGTGCCCATGTAGTCCCAGCAATTCCTTAATTATATTTTATGTTTTTCTGTCAAAACCTGTTTCCCTCAAAGGCAGTATTTTGCCCTTTTTTGGTTTGGTTTTGTGTAAGACAGGGTCTCATGTATCCCAGGCTGGCCTAGAATTCCGGATTCACCTCCTTCCACAGCCCCACTCCTCCTCCAAGTGTCGAGACTACAGGCAGATGTCACCATGGCCCCCAAGTGCCGGGACTACACGTGGGTGCCACCCTGCCTAGCCCCATTCAAAGGTTTGTGTTTGTTCATTTCTTCTCCAATCCTGTGAGTCTCAGTATCAGCCATCGGCTCTCAGTGTGCATCTGTATGGAGTGGGGCCTGAGGTGTGAACTGCTGATGTGAGGTATTCTTCCTGCAGAGGACTCCAGTTGCTAAACTATGTTGTTGTTGTTTTGTTTTGTTTTTTGAACAAACTAAACTACAGTTGGTAAACTAAACAATTGACTTATAATGGCTTTGGGGGAAATTCGGGCAGTGGTGGCGCACACTTTTAATCCCAGCACTCGGGAGGCAGAGGCAGGAGGATTCCTGTGAGTTCGAGGCCAGCCTGGTTTACAAGAGCTAGTTCCAGGAGAGGCTCCAAAGCTACAGAGAAACACAGCCTGGAGAGCCTTCGTACACTGCACTTGCACAAGCATTTGCCCTGACAACTTGGGCCTCTTTGAGTGATTTCTTTAAAATGCGTGAGAACAGTGCTGGCAAGATGGCTCAGTGGACCCTGTCTCGTCTCAGGGTCTGGTGAGAGCTCAAGGTCAGTGTAACATGTAGGGCCAGCTTGTTTGTTGGGGTTTTTGTCCTGCCCAGTTCCCCCAGCTGTTTAACAGAATACAGACAATTCTCCCGCGCCAGGTCAGTCCCTGGACCCACAAGGTAGGAAGAGAGAATTGGGACCCTCAGGTTGTCCTACAACCCCCCATATGCACACACTTCACAAAACATTTTTTTTAATTAAAAAGATGAATGAAAATATACAAATGTTTCATACCAGCTTTTAGATTATTTTTGTTTTAAATTGTGTGTGTTTTGGGAGAGGGGGGTACGTGCACACGTGTGTAAGTGTCTACAAAAGCCAGAAGAAGACAACAGATGCCCTGGAGTTGGAGTCACAAGTGATTGTGAATCACCTGACGTGGGTACTGGGAACTGAACTCAGTTTCCTCTGTAAAAGAAGCATGCACTCTGAAATGCCGAGACATCTCTCTAGCCCTCAGTGTGTGTACAGCTTTTAAGAGTTAGTATAAGGAAGAGAGAGCAACCACTCTATGTCCCTAACCACTATGTTGGCAGCCTCTTACCTGTGTTTTTAGTATTGTCTGACTTAATGGTTCCTTTTTAATTTCTTCATCCTCCTTTTTTTATGCCCCCCCCCCATTTTCCTATCAAATAACTAACAGGATACTTTGTGCTAGAGTATTTATTTAAGTCCATGGCTTTGGTTGTTGTCCTCGAACGCAAGACAGATCCTCCCATCTGCCACCAGGGCAGTGCACCAGTTACTGGGCCATTGCTGTGATAAAACACCACAAGCCAAGGCAGCTTAAGGAAGAGAGAGTTTATTTTGGCCCATGGCTCCAGAGGGTTAGAGTCCACTGTTCATCATGCCAGGGCGGCAGAGCAGTGAGCACAGACACGGCAGCCCGAGCAGGAAGCTGACAGTTTATATCTTTAATAGCAAGTGTGAAGCCGAGAACCAGGAACTAGAAGTGGGGCAAAGCTATAAACTCTCAAAGCCTGCCCCCAGGGACATACTTCCTTCTACAAGGCTGTGCCACTTCCCCAAACAGTGTCATTTTTACCAGCCTAATGGTGTAAATAATTTGTCTTATTAAGTCATTCCAAAGTCATTACACAGTTTGATGCTTTACCAAACACGGCCTCCATTTCTGTGGACTAGGAATCTGGGAACACTTAGATGGCATGCTCACTCACAGGCTGTAATCAATCACTGATCATCGACTGCCAATCAACTGGGGAAGAGTGTGGCTGAGGTCACTCACGGGGCTGAGCTCTGCCTCAGCTCCTTCAGAGGCCGCCCTTTGTTCTGCAGCACAGGCTTCTCTGTGGGCACTTGAGACAGGCAGCTGGCTTCCCCTGGGATGAGCAAATAGGAAGGCGTGAGCCAGACAGACAACCGCCTGTTTTTACAGCCTTGGCTCAGAAGTGACTCACCTGCTGGGATGCCAGCTGTTAGAAGCCAGGTCACTAAGTCCAGGCCACAGTGCAGGTGAGAGAATTGGACAGGTTCAAGAAGGAGGGCGGGTAGGTCACTGGGAACTTCCTCAAGGCAGTCTTCCTTCTGACCCTGAGGGTTCACACCCCGAGGTTTCATAATACAGTCACATGCAGAGCACACAGCCTTCCAAAGTCTCCCTAAGTCTCACCCGACTGGAGGTGAATAGCTGGACGCTATTCACAATTGGAACTGTGCTCCTCTTTTCTTATTGATTTAAAAAATGAGAAGAGGGTAATGGTCTTCACTATGGAAGGAAACTATAGGAGTTTGCACTAGCAAAGTCAGTTATATGCATAAAATTCTAGAAATAAAAATATAGCCAAGGTTTTTCTGATTGTTGATTTGAATATCCTGATAGTCTTTGGAGAATTTAACAACCAGGTTTTAAATAATCTCATTCAATTTCATTTCCATATTTGATTTGAATCTGAAGATATACCCGGAGATGAAAAACTAAATTATGCAACTTAAATGTCAGTCAGTTACCCCTTATAATTCTGCTCACTTGTGGATCATTCCTACTTCACGTCACAATTCAGCTCCTGACTGCAGGGGTCCCAGGAGATACAATCAGCAAAAACTTTGCTGAACAGAAGGGGAGCCCTCCTCCTCCAAACACCTTCAGTGGGTAGGTCCAGTCCCTAGCTAGAGCTGTGTGCAGCTGCAGTGACCTTGCTCTGCAGATTGAAAGGAAGGCTTTTGCCCTCTAGCTCTCTAACCTGCCTCTGTGACACGTGATGCACATTTTCTTAGACGTAAACAAACACCACAGGGTCAATTCCCGTGCCACCGAGCCCAACCAAGGGAGGGAATTCAGTAACCATTTCTCCTTTTTAAAGATTCATCTCATTTTTAATGTGTTTGTGTGTGTGTGTGCGCGCGCGCGCGTGTGCGCGTGTTCACACAAGCACACGAGCATGCTCCTGCTTGCCCAAGAGTGCAAGTGTCCACAGAAGACAGAAGAAGGTTTCGGATACACTGGAGCGGGAGCTTCCGGTGGCTGGGAACCGCCTGACATGGGTGCTGGGAACTGAACTCCAGTGTTCTGCAAGAGCAGAACATGCTCTTAACAGAAGAGCCATGGCCTTCTTAACACCATTTCTATGAGAAGCAAAGTAGAACACCTTGACACAGACCAGAGGACATGAACCTAAGTCAACAGGTCCCACAGCATCCATGGGACACGGATGTCTTCATGGACTGACTTCAGGACTCCCCGGGACACCCAAACCTGTGATGCCTGAGTCCCTTAGATAAAGTGCCTTACATTTGCTTATGAGCTCACAATCCTCTTGCATACTTTACACAACTCTCATGAATACAAGTGCAATGTAGGTAGTATGTTGTCAGACTGTATTGTTTAGGGCATGGTGGTGGGGAGAAATGTCTGCACTAATCAGTACAGACGTTTTCCTCAAACTGTTCCCATGTTATGTTCTTCTATGGAGCCCACCCTTAAGGAGGGCTGACCGCAGTTTGACGGCATGATGATCAAAATCTACCTTTCTTATTCCCATCCTAGAGGATCAGAAAGTTTCTTCTGGTAGAACTTTGAGGGCTTTTAAGGAAACTTAAGTTTTGAGGATTACATTATCAAAATTAGGAGAGGTTCTTAAGTTACCTCATTTATTAGAGACAAAAGATCCATTCTTACTTTTGAAAAAAAAAAAAAGAAAGAAAAGAAAATTCTTCAGTGGGGACCTAGCAGGAATCTTTGAGGGAAGTATTGTTTTTAAAAATATTGTGTGTGTGTGTGTGTGTGTGTCTGTGTGTCTGTGTGTGTGTGTGCCTGTGTGTGTGTGTCTGTGTCTGTGTGTGTCTGGTGAGTGGTGCATGCATGTGAGTGTGCGGGTGTTTACACTCTTGTATAAGCGTGTGTGGATCAGAGCAGGACCTTGGGTATCTTCCTTTATCAGTCTTTTCCTTGTTGCCTAGAGACAGAGCTCTGACTTCCCCTTTAGGATAGACTGGCTTGTCAGTGAGTTCTTGGGATCCTTTACCTCTGCCCCTCAAATCTGGGCATACAGGTGCACACTGCTGTGCTCTGCTTTTTATGTGAGGACTGTGGACTCACACTCAGGTCCTAGGGTTTGTATTTTGAGTGCTTTTACCCACTGGGGGCTTTTTTCCCTTTTGCTTGAGGAACTCTAAAGGAAACAGTTCACACAAATTCAAATGGCATATTATAAATAATAAGCAGTCATCTCCTAAAATACGACTTTGGAGGTCACCATGCATTGCCCACTTGTCCAGGGGTCACCATCCATGCCAGTCATTAAAGCGGTAACCTTCCTTGTCCCTCTTATTACTGACCCAGTGTTCTGGAAACAGTTTAACCTGCTCTAATTTAAATCAACCCCCTTGTGTTCTTTGCTTGCAATCTTCTTGATCCTGCTGTTTCCCACCCTTTGGAGATTCTTGAATCCTGCTCTATTCTCGGTCACTATTCCTTATGCCGCATGAACCCTTTAATAGATTGCTTTTGTAGATTGTTGCTAAATATTTTCTTTCTTTTTTAAAAAATGAATGTGTGTGTGGTGTGGTGTGGTGTGGTGTGTGTATATATGCATGTGTATGTGTATTAGCTGCAAGTATGTATGTGCATTATGTGTGTTCAGGTGCCCACAGAGGCCAATGGGGGCATCAGATCTTCTAGAACTGGAGTTACAGGCAGTTGTGTGATGCCATATGGGTACTGGGAATGGGGCTTGGATCCTCTGCAAAAGTAGCCAGTGTTCTTAAGCCCTGAGCCACCTCTCCAGTCCCTTGTTTGGATTTGGATTATTAACTACTTCCAGTTTAGTTATAACCTTCCCATGTCTAAAACCTCGGGACACTTGTTTCTCAAGCCCTTACCCTTGGAGGTGAAGAAGGCTACAGAGTGGGAGTTGGCCCTGTGCGTGTCCCCACATGGTGGCTGCTCACCCTTGAGATTCAAGGGTGCAGGAACAGGAGAAGCCCTTCCTCCAGTAAACAGAAGGTTTCTGCCTGCTTTATAGCAAACTTAAAATTCCAGAATACAACTAAGAGATATTTGATCCACAGGCAACTTAACAACCACCTACAACTCATGTTTCAAAGCATCTTGCTAGAAATATTATGTGTATCAAGTATCATGTATGTGAGCATGCATGTATGCTTTCTATGACATGTATGGATTTATTCCCTCTTTCCTTTACTTACAATATGTTATACTTTTGAAAAATGTCTTGGGTTTTTAAATTTAAGCTAGATTGTTTTGCAGGCAGTTTCCTACCTTTCCTATTCTTTTTAATTACATGTCTGTGTAGCGGAATGTGCAAGTCGGTGCAGTTGCCTAGGGACACCAGAAGAGGGCATCAGAGTTACAATTACAGGTGGGTTTGCACTGCAGATGTGGGTGCTGGGAACTAAACTCAGGACCTCTGCAGGAGTACTAAGTGCTCTTAACCGTTGAACCATCTTTAATCACCCTGACACCTATTTTAGATGACTGTCCTGAGGCCCAGACGTAAACGATGCTTCTCTACCCAGCTTTTCTCTTCAGTCATTTCTACATACAAAATATACAAGTCTCTGACCAGCTCAGGTACCACGCAGGCCCACATCCTGGGCCTTGAGTTGGTCCACCCTAACATCTACCCCATCTGTGGCCTGTTTGAGTGTGCGAAGGGACTGATGCTGTGGAATGACAGCCATGGGATCTCCGTGACTTGGGCAGGGCAACAAACAGCAGCTAAGAGAAGTTTCTGTGAGGGTCCAGTAATGATGGTGCAGTAGAGGCCAGAGGCCTTGAACCAAACCAATGACTCATTGCAACGCACATTTGTGGGCCGGGCTGAATAGACAAAAGGGTGTATATACTGTGGGACACACAGCCGCTCTGAATGCCGCTAGGAGGAATAGAGAGATGCGGGAGAGACGGGAAAGACAGGGGAGTGAAGTGGGTTTTGTTTGTTTTGTTTTTAATTCATCTTGGGAGGTTTTGTTGGGGGGAAGATACTGCAAGGGTGGGGGCAAATATGGAGGGACTGGGAGGTGAAAGGGATTGGGGTGCATGATGTGAAATTTCCAAAGAATCAATAAAGGATTATGTTATAAAAAGTATACAGGTCTCTATTTTATAGTCAGGAACCAGAACTTCTCATACATTTTCTACCAAATAGAAGATTACACTCAGCTACTTAGGAAAATTCAATTTTAATTTTACTCTCCCATGGCTATTTATGCTAGGAACCAGTTTGGCAATTTTCACTGACTTTATTTGATGTGATGAGACACCATGACCAGACAACTTATGAAGAAAACATTTATTTGGAGGCCTGTGCACAGTTTTAAGAGGGTAGTCCAAGATCATCATGGTGGGGAGCGTGGTGATAGGCCAGCAGTAGCCGAGAGCTCACATCCTGATCTGTAAGCTTCAGGCGGAGAGAGCAACTGGGCCTGTGTTGCACCAGAATAAATTATATTTTGATAAATGTTACCATGGACACTTAAAAAGAATACATAGTCTGATACTGTTGGATGGAGACATAGTACCAATAAATGAGGTTGATTGACTGTGGTGTCAGCTGTGGAATTCTCTGCCTAAAACTGTAGCTTCCAAAATGGGGACATATGTCCCTGAAGGTATACAAAATATCTATTGAATATATACCATATATAACATGTTACTAAAATAATATGTATACATATGTCCTTGAGATAAAAAGAAACTAAGTTTAGTAATATTGACAGACTGGCAATGCCGTTTACACCTTCTGTTATTTGTTTATTACCTTTATACATTATAACATTCAGGTGGGCTTCTAAAATGACTTTTGGAGCTAGATTTTGGATTGTACTAGTCAGATTTGCATTCGTGGGACAAAATACCTGAGGATAGCTAGTTGAAACGGAAGAAAGATTTTTGGCTCATGGTGTCTAAGAAATTAGTCTATGGTTACCTGACCTTTGGGTGTGTGGTGTCACAGTAGATCACGGCCAAGCAAGCGACTGAGGTTGTTGTCCTTGAGAAAGCCGTGAAGCGAAGAAAAACCCAGGAGTAGTCCCAGTCCCGATAATCCTTTCAGGGCCACGTTTTTAAGCCATGGAGGTAATTCCAGAACCAATCTGTCACAGGTTTTCAAATTTTGGAATACTTACATGATCATTTATCTAGAGATGAAACTCAAATCTGAACGTAAGGTTCATTGATACAAGCCTTGTAAATATGGGTTGAAGGTAAGGTTTTTATCTTCTTAAAGAGCTTGTGTTTGAAGCAGTTTGTGTGTTGTACCTTCAGGAGCTGAGCATCACACATCACACACACCCCACCCCCACAGTACACCCCCCCCCCGCGGGGGGGGCGGAAAAAACTGTGCTGTGCAACTGTCTTGAGCGCTTGAGCATCGTCCATCACATGGGGCGTAGAATCTTCCACTTGCGGTATCACGTTAGCGCTTAAAACCTTCTGTACTTGGAACACTGGGGATCTTCAGGTCAGTGTTGCTCAGCCTCTCCTACAGGATTCACGAACATGGTCGATTTTATCTGGGCAGAGTGGTAAAGGTCCACAATCCTAGCTGTTGGAAACTGGAGGAAGGAGGATGAGGAGTTCTAGGTTGCCCCCAGCCACACAGTAAGTCTGAAGCCCTTGAGACCCTATCTCCAAAAATCAAACAAGGGCCTATAAGTGACAGATCTTATCCAATACTTGGCCTTGAAGTCAGGTGACACCATGCAACTTTTAGCCCCGTGAGGAGGTTCACAAGCGTACTCTTAGTCTGGAGAACCCCTGAAATTATTCCCAAGTCTCAGGAAAACTCTATCCGGGAATCGTTAAGTTGTAGACGTGACAATCTGATAATAACTGTCAGTTTTCTTTTGAATAGGCAATGATACACTTTTCTGACGATCTTTTATTTTGGTCAACTGCTTTGCTAGAATCTTTGTATAGTTCCTCCTCCCACCACACTTGGTTTTTTTAAGCTTACGCGTGTATCCAAACCGCATCAAAACTCCAGACCGAGGAGGCTCTGATGAGCTCGATACACACTGCGTGTGTACAGCTGTAGCTCCGCCCTCGTTTAAAATTCAAATGTCGCGGAGCCATCTGTTATTTAGTTAAAATTAGCTTACCTTTCTCGAAATGGATGTCCTTAGTGCCTTTTCATCAAATGTGAAAACTCTAGAGGAAAAAAAAAGCATACATTTCTGTAAAATTACTTGCTTAAAACAAAATGGGACTTGACTTTTCTGAAAATGGAAGTAGTCTAATTTATATAGCTCATTAATTGACTTTCATTAATGTTATTTACAACGTGAAAATTTGTTAGCAATTTTGTTGGAAGGAAAGCCACTAAAACTATAAACAATATAACACGCTGGATAAAAAGGATGAAAACTGTTATTTTGTGGTTTACTTTTTAGGTTCTTTTATTTATGTGTATGAGTGTTTTGCCTGTGTATATGTCTATGTACACAGTCTGCCTGGTGCCCACAGAAGTCAAAAGTGGACATATGATCTCCTATGGTTGTGAGCAACCATGGAGGTGCTGGGAACTGAACTCAGGGTCTCTGCAAGAGTAACAAGTGCTCTTAACTTCTGAGCCATCTTTTCAGTCCCAAAACTATTATTTTAGAATTAAACCTAAAAAGAAAGAAAGGAAGGAAGGATGGAAGAAAGAACTCTCTTAAGCTTGGGGTTGTGTTTTTGCTGCTCCAACACAGCACCCTCATACTGTGTTCTCAACTTCAGAACCCCATTCCACCCGCCCCTCCCTCTCTTATCTGTTCAGTCTCTTGCTCTTCATCTGGACATATCATATCTCTGTCACTTAAATAAGGGAGCAAAACATTGATCTTGATGATGTTTATTTGTGTGTGTGTGTTTCTGTACATGTGTTTGTGGGTGTCCTCAGAGGTCTGAGGCCTCAAACACCCTGGAGATAGAGTTATAGGCAGTTATGAGTCATCCAACCTGGAACCCAGGATGGATTCGAACTCAGGTTCTCTGCGACAGCAGTGCATCTCTTAATCGCTCCAACGTTTTATTGACATACCTTAAAAGCAAAGTCTAATAACTTGATTCCATTTCCTCCACTCTCTGCAATCTTGCTCCCCTCCCGCACCTTGAAATGTTCTTTCCTTGAAGGCCCACATATACCTGTATATTTATCTGAGACCTCTTTTTCTGTCTTCTTTGGTCTCCTTCTCATTAACCATCTCTCCTCAGTGGGACCCTAACTAACCTTAGCCACTTTCTAGGTGTTTCTATCCATGCACCAACATACCCCAAATCTCTGTCTCAGATAGCACCACTTTCCAGAGGTCAAGAACTAAGCGTCCAACTGTTGAGGGGACCTCTCCACCTGGACATGCCACAGTCACCTTGGACTGAGAATTTCCAAAGTGACTCTGTTATCTTTTTTCGGATGTCATCTCCTGCTCCCCATTCCTATGCTTTGTGTTAGTCTATCAACTTAGATACCTAAACATCGTCTGTCTCTACCACAGTCCCCAGGATGCACTGTTACCCAGCTCATTTCTCACCTGTGCTAGAACTGAGGTCTTTTACCTAGAAATCTGCCTCAACCTTCTCCCCAAACTACCTGAGGCAGATAGAAGGACCCAATCCTCTTTAAGGGTATATGGGTAGATGTTAAGCCCCATTAAGGTTAATTTTATGATAGATCTTGGTTATAAAAACCCTTAGTGGTTTTCCCCCTCCCCTTCAAAAAAAGATTTATTTATTTGATTTACTTTTATGTGTGTGAGTGTTTTGTTTGCCTGGTTCATGCCTGGTCAGAAGAAGGCATCAGATCCCCTGGAACTGGAGTTGCAGATGGTTGTAAGCCACCACTTGGGAGCTGGTAACCAAACCCAGCTCCTCTGCAAAAGCAGCCAATGCTCCTTATTGCTGAGCCGTCTCTTTAGCCCACCTTTCGACTTTTTGACTCATGAAAGCGATCAGGCATGGCAGTTTGGCCACTTGAAGTGCAGCTATCCAAGTCTTCCCTGCTGCAGTGGCTGCTGCCCTGAGCTGTGCAGGTATGGAGGCCCACTCAGGACTCTTTCTGTCATCTTCGTGGTTCCCATGCCTGACGGTACTGTGAGCGATATTACTGCCGCTCTTCAGGGTCTAGCTAGCCAGACAACAGCGAATGCAGCTTCAGGAGAAGGAGATACCAAAGCAGTGGTCACCCTCACCCGTTCAATTTGCTCTCGTCACTACAGCCAAGGCTGTTCTAAACATCTTGCCACTGTTCAGGAAGAGTCTGATGCAGCCACAGACACCAGAGGAGAATTCCAACCAGGCATGAATGTGTTGAAGCACATTCGTTCTTGTCATGGCTGCCACTTTAATAACACTTTGCCTCAGGAGGCTTCACCAGCCATGACGGTTTCAGATCATCCTTAGCAGACCCCATCCAGAGCTGTGTGCAGACATAGTCCCACTCTGAGTGGGTACCAGTGCCTCCAAAGCCCATGGCAGATAATCTACATGCACGACAGGATTATACAAGCATCCCTGGCTGAGCTCTCCTCATACCTTCTTCCTACACATTCCCGTGCTATGTTCTACAGCTCAGGTCTCAATAAGTCCTATGCTGTTGTTTTGTTTTTACTATTTCTGGTTTTTGCTATAGTGTGATGATTAGTTTTAATTGTCAACTTGACACAACTTAGAATCACCTGGGAAGAGAGTCTCCATGAGCAACTGTCTACATGGTGTTGGCCTGAAGGCGTGTCTGTGGGAGGTCGTCTCAGTTATGTTAACTGACGTGTGAAGAGTAGCCCACAGTGGACGGAGTAGTTCCGTGCATAGAGACTTCTGAATTGTATGAACGAAAAACTCATGCAGAGAACAAGCAAGGTAGCGATCGAGCGCGCACACACATTTCTCTCTGCTCGTGACTATGGATGTGATGTGACCAGCTGTCTCAGACTCCTGAAACTGTGATGTCCCCAAAATGATGGACTGCAATGTTGAATTGCAAGCCAAGTAAACCATTTCTCCTCTAAGATGCTTTTCCTTGGGCTATTCAATCACAGCAACTGAAGTGAAACTCAGACACGTGGGTAGAGCAGGCTGAACCGACAGTGTGAAGAGCAGACATGTTCTGGGACTGCCAGTCAGCGGGACCCAGAGGGCAGCCACGAGCGGAGACTGCGAAGAACCGGATGGCAGAGGTAGGTCTTCCAAAGGGCTGCAATGAACTACAGTATCCCTGGCTGCTGGAAGAGCTCCGGGGCGTCACTCTGACTTGGGCAGTCACCAAGGTTCATTCACAGATCTGGGAACAGCAGATGCTGGGTGCTGAGCTGCTGGCAGTCCTTGGCTGTGGTGCTCACCTCGGGAGCCTTCCTGTTAAAACTGGACCAAGTGGATAGTCAGATGGCAGGGTCAGTTCCCAGCACCCACGTCACCTGTATCTCCAGCTCCAGGAAGTCTACACCCTCTTTCGGCATGTACAGGCAGGTGCACAAACATGGCTCATTTAAACTCACACAGGAATGCTTGTATGTGTGATATACATGCACACACACAGACACACACACACACACACACACACACACACACACACACAATCTTTATAAAACGACGACGGACGTTAGACCAAGACAGAGTAATTAGCATGGCCTCTGTGCAAGGACAGCATGGAAATCCGCAGGTGTCCCGTATTTTTTTTTAACCTGAATTCAGTTTATTTATTTATTTTTATTAATTTATAAAAGTTTCCACTTCCGCCCCTCCTCCCAATACCCTCCCACTCTCCCCACTCCCTCCCCTCCTCCCTCTCCAGTCCTAAGAGCAGTCAGGGTTTCCTGCCCTGTGGGAAGTTCAAGTTCCTCCCCCCTCCCTCCAGGTCTAGGAAGGTGAGCATCCAAACAGACTAGGATCCCACAAAGCCAGTACATGCAGAGGACACAAGTCCCAGTGCCATTATCAATGACTTCTCAGACAGTCCCCGTGTCAGCCACATTCAGAGAATCCGATTTGATCATGTGCTCGTTCAGTCCCAGTCCTGCTGGCCTTAGTGAGCTCTCATTAAATCAGTCCCCTTGTATCAGTGGGTGAACGCACTCCTCACGGTCCTGACTTCCTTGTTCATGTTCTCCCTCCTTCTGCTCCTCATTTGGACCTTGGGGACTCAGTCCAGTGCTCCAATGTGGGTCTCTGTCTCAATCTCCATCCATCGTCAGATGAAGGTTCCCTCTGATCCTGCCTTCCTTGCTCACGTTCTCCCTCCTTCTGCTTCTCATTTGGGGTGTCCCGTATTTTTAAGAGAACTGACAAGCTCGTCAAAGACAGATAAGCCAGCGGCCTAAGGCTATTTCAAGTGCAGACCCTGACTGGGACTACAGCTTGTCAGTTTGAACAGCAAGCATATTTCTTCCTCTTTCCCTTTTGAACGTGTTTGTAAGCTTACAGCTCAGCAGATCTGACTCGACCTTCTCAAGTCTAGTGCTGAGCTGGCTCTTCTTTTCCAGCCACTGTTGTTCCCCTCCCTTCCTAAGGCAGCAACACACAACTTAATTCAGAAATTTGAATGAAAATCTTCAAACCGTTTTTTTTTTTGCAAGACAACCGCTTATCACCTTGCTTAAATACAAATATTCCTCATGCTTTCAAAATATATTTTCTTCTATAATTTTGAAAAATTGTAAAAGCCCAGAGCTGTATGTCTCTGGCACTGAAAGCTCATAACTGCTAACACAAGGAAGTCACACTCTGCTTATTCATGACTTCTCTCTGAATAGGACAGCAACAAAACCCTGGGCCAATTAGTGACACATCCATGTTGGAAGGAGGCTGCTTGTTTGTCCTGGCCTCCCCAAATCGAAATAATCATACAGAAACTGTATTAATTAAATCACTGCTTGGCCCATTAGCTCTAGCTTTTTATTGGCTAACTCTTACATCTTAATTTAACCCATTTCTATTAATCTGTGTATCACCACGAGGTCATGGCCTACCAGCAAAGTTTCAACATCTCTGGTGACGGCTCCAGGGCAACTCCCTAACTCTGCTTCCTTTCTCCCAGCATTCAGACCAGTCCTCCTTGCCTACCTACATTCTGCTCTATCAACAGACCAAGGCAGTTTCTTTATTCACTAATGGTAACCACAGCACACAGAGGGGACTCCCACATCATATCCATTGTTTCCCGTCATTCATGTTATTTCATTAACTTCATATGTTCCTCCTCTTGATCAAGACCCCTCAGTGACTTCCCCTCTGTTCAGGACATGAACTCTAACTTCTTCAGCATGGCTCATAACGCCTTTCACCACCCTGACCATCACTCAACCTCCCTCACCTCTTTCTCAGCAGTACTTGAAAATATTAAAACATCTCTAAGATACCAGCAGCACGTTTGTTCGGTTACTGAAATGAGCTTTAAAACATTACTGCCATGAAAATACAAAGCCCCCAAATTCCCACCACAGGTAAGTAAATGATGACAAGCTCATTTGGTGGAATAATATTCAGTGATAGGGAGAGAGAGAGTATACAACAGCAGCATAGGTGGATTTAACTACGGCAATAATGAACAGAAGAAAGCAGGCTCGCATTCCAGTTCCATGACATCTAACACCAGACAAAACTCTTTGATAGGAATAAAATTGGCTACATACTGCACAGTGGTGTCGCCTAGGAAAAGGACGAAAGTGAACTGGAAATATTCTGTTCTCTCTCTGTCTGTCTCTCTGTCTGTCTGTTGTCCTCTCCTCTGTAAGCCTGGGTCAAAGTTTACAGCATAAGGTCAGGGGACACAAAGGTTCTGCTCACAGAGGGCCTGGATTTAGCAGTTGCTGGGTGGAGATGGGGATGTGTGTACATTGTTGACTGGAACGCAGATGGATAACGGCTTCTTGGAAAGCACAGGTAATGTGTAACGAAAGTTATCATCTGATGTTCTTCCCTAGTGTTTTCACTTTGGTATGCAGAACTCCTAAGAAGGGTTGGCTGTGGAGACAGCTCAGAGGTCCCCAGCAATGCAATAAATACTACATAATGTATAAACACGTGACTTTCTTTTTAAAAATTTATTTCCATTTTATAAAGATTTATTCTTATTTTATGTGCATTGGTGGTTTTCCTATGTATGTCTGCAAAGGGTATCAGATCCCCCAGAACTGGAGTTACTGACAGCTGTGAGCTGCCATGTGGATACTGGGAATTGAACCCAGATCCTCTGGAAGAGCAGCCAGTGCTGTTAATCCCTGAGCCATCTCTCAGGTTCCATACGTAATTTTTCTTTTTTTTCATAATTTTCTTTTTCTCATAATTTTCTTAAAAAAAATAGCAACAGACAAAGCTTTGTAAACCAGTAGTAGAAAGATGTTTGGAACAATATTATTCATGAAGATGGAAATTATATGCAAACCTAATGTTCCATTATGGGAAAAGTTTAAGTAAACATTAGCAAAGCAACACAGTCCTTTAGGTCTTATCTTCCTTATCTTCCAGCTTGTCAAATGCTGAAATACTATGCCAAAAAGTTAATTCCGAAGTGCAAATATCAGGTACCAAATTATATCAGTTAATCTATATTACCCAGAAACTATCTAAAACCTAGTGGCCTGAAACAACCACCGCTTTATTTAGTCACAGTTTATTTGATCCCATTCAAGTTTAATCAATTTGATCTGGTCTCAGTGGGTGGTTTTTAAATCATTTGACCCAAGATTGCTCGCTCACTAGACTGCATTAATCAATCTGGTCAATTTAGATCTGATGATATAAGCAAGCTCTGCTTGAATATCTGTGCTGGATATTATCTGGGGACTGGACTGTCTCATTCTAAATATGACTATCTTGGGAGGAGGAGGCTAGTCCAAGTTCTGCTGCAACTGCTGCTCTCTTCCTTCTTTTTTTTCAACAGTAGATCTCTCTACCAAACTGACCTCAAACCCCCCAGGTAGCAGAGGATGACCTTAAACTTTTTATTTATTTATTTATTTACTTATTAAAAATTTCTACCTCCTCCCCGCCTCCCTTTTCCCTCCCCCTCCCCATCTCCCCCTCCCTCTCTAGTCCTAAGAGCAGTCAGGGTTCCCTGGCCCGTGGGAAGTCCAAGGTCCTCCCCCCTCCATCCAGGTCTATAAAGGCGAGCATCCAAACAAACCAGGCTCCCACAAAGTCAGTCCATGCAGTAGAATCAAAACCCAGTGCCATTGTCCTTGGCTTCTCAGACGGCCCTCATTGTCAGCCACATTCAGAATATCCAGTTTGATCACATACTCCATCACGCCCAGTCCAACTGGCCTTGATGAGCTTCCATTAGATCTGTCTCACCGTCTCAGTGGGTGGACCTGACTTCCTTGCTCATGTTCTCCCTCCTTCTGCTCCTCATTTGGACCTTGGGAGCTCAGTCCAGAGTGCAGAGATCATAAGCATGTTCCACTAGACCCCTTTTATGCAATACTGGGACGGAGACCAGAGCGTCACAAGCACTAGTGAAGCCATCTATCAGTCCAGCCACCTTCCCAACCTAAGTCTGAGGTTCTTTCCAAGATGCTGGTGACATCGAAGCAGTGCAGTTATAGAAACCGCTGCTGCTCAAAGCCAGCCACAGAGAGGCAAGAGGAGGGGTGATGGATTCCACCTTTGGATGGAAGGCACATCTCAGCCACATTTCAAAGAGGGTAATAAACAGAAATGGGATGACTATGTAGCCGTGATCACACAGCGATTGACAGTCAGTCTCAAAATAAATATATAGGCAAATCTGTACACTGGTACAAATTGGCAAAACAGTCACACAACTATGGGAAGTCATTCTGTACATAATTTTCTCCAAAAAAAATAAAGGTGAAATGTTCAAACCTCGAGAAAAAATCAGGATGCATTATTTGACCACATTAAAGGGCAACACAGAAAACTGTTTTGTTCTTGAGCAGTGCTCATAGACATACAGCTATGTGCCCAGCATAGTGGTGCCTACCTATAGTTTCAGATGCTTGGGGAACGGAGGAGGGAGGGTTGCTCAAGCCCAGGAGTTGTGTGCCATCCTCATCAGGCATCCATATGAAGATCAGAGTCAATATGGCGACCACCCAGGAGTGAAGAACCCTCAGACTGTCCAAGGGGTGACTGGACTCATGTCAGAAAATATACCAGGTGAGTGGTGCTATTCTTCTGCTCTGGTCCCTTTAAGGGCCAGTCACGCCCACTCCCAGCCACTTCTGACCCCCTCATCGCCATCTTAACCCTTCCTCTTCTATCCCCGTCTCTTGGCGTGTGCACACGTGTTTTCCTCTCTCTGTCCTCTTTTCTATTTCTGCCTTTCTTTTTCTCCTTCTTCTTTAAGTAATAAATGTTTACCCTTATGCTTAGCCTTACGTCTATTTACTATGTCCTGTGAGCTTTTTATCCACCGTACCCACCCACCTGACTCGTCCGGCCATATGACGGACCAGCCTGCCACCCTGGAGATCTTGCAGGGACCCACAGCCATCCTCGTCGGACTAGCGGCTGCTCTGCGAGCCTGCCAGGGAACATGCCTGCCTTTTAAAGAACAAAAAGTGGCGCCAGATCAGATCCCGTACTTAACTACAAAATAGATACAGAGTAGATTAATTAAAATCTAATAGGTGACCATTGTAAAGGAAGAAAAGACTTAGCTCCCAGAGTGTAGTCTGTCATGAGAGAGAAGCCTGTGCAAGCTGGTCATGTCACACCGTTTCCAGCATCTGAAGCACAGGCAGGGGATGCAAAGAAGTCTCCCAGGCCCCTTGAGCGGAGACAGAATATGGAGACAGTTCTCAATATGTAGGCTGGCTTTTCTAGATGTACAACCCAGAGATTTTTCTGGAAGATTTTCCAGTTTGCTATAGAAGCAAATGTTATAAGCAAGCCGTTTTTATTTGATCTATAACTTCAAGACAATGATCAATGCCACCAAAACAGCTCTGTCCACACCCATCATCTTAGGTTTCTCCCACTCAATAGACACTTGTCCTTACATTCTTTCCGATAAGTCACCACCCCAGTGCCCATTGGATTCCCATTTTAGTGCACTTATTTTCCCATTTGGTTCCCGGCCTACAATCCATAACCTTAGAGGACGTAGACAACAATGAGGAACCTAAGAGAGACATACATGGATCTAATCTACATGGGAAGTAGAAAAATACAAGAACTCCTGAGTAAATTGGGAGCATAAGGCCCATGGGAGAGGGTAGAAAGGGAAGGGGAAGAAAGGGAAGGGAGCAGAGAAAAATATATAGCACAATAAAAACAATCAAAAACCAAAACAAAATAAAATAAAAAGAACGCAGTTAATGACTTTTTCAAAACTGTCTCACTTTCCTTTGACATAACAAAACACATAGTCTGGATATAAGGGAGAAGCAAGAAAAATGCTCTTATTTTGTAACAGCAATACAAGCAAGCAGTATAACAAAGTAACATGTTTGGAGGCAGGAAGATAATGCAGTGGTTAAGAGCACTTCCCTAAGCAAGTATGAGGATCCAAGTTCAAGTCCCCAGTACCTACATAAAAAGCAAGGCATGGCTGGAGATGCCTGTAACCCTAGAATTGGAGACGCAGACATGCAGATTCTGAGAGCCCACTGGTCAGTCAGCCTAGCCAAAATGGCAGGCTTCCAATTCAGTGAGAGACTGTCTCAAGGAGCAAAGACACCTGGCATCCTCCTCTGGTCTCTTCATACAGGGAAATGGACACTTGCACCCTCATACTCACACATGAGCACCACCCACAATACATCACACACACACACACACACACACACACACACACACATACACACTAGGTTTTTATGATTAATAGACTAAAAGAAGAAAGATTTGTTTGGGTTCACAATTTCCAGCCTCTGGTAGACTGGGCCCATGCTTCTGGCCTTTGTCACCATGGTGGCAGGAAAGGCATTGTGGCAGGAAGGAGTGAGGGCACAGGCAGCTCACATCATAGCATCCAGGAAGCAGAAGGAGAGAGAAGGTGCCTGCTCAGACAGATTGAAATGGATGAAGACTTCCCTGACCCAGTCTCTGATAAGATGTTTGCTTCTCTTGACAGAAGCACAGAGTCTAGGGAGCTGAATTTTGTATTTGCCGACATGCCTGTCATCTTATACTAGTCTTCCTAGATTTCCGATTGTCTTCCGTCTCTGTCTTCCAAATACCTTACGAGCAATGGCTTCACCACCTTTGTCACCAGTACGCCATGGACACACACCTGTCAACCCCATTACTCAGGCTTTGGTAAACAAAGCATGAAGTCACTCTGCATCTGGGCTGCTCCTCTTTCTCCATTTCCGCTCTATTAGCTGGCTCAGGGTGTGCTTATAACAATGGCAATAGGTCTATCACACAGATCACATTCTCTAGTTAATCAACAACCAATCCATGCGATGAAAACCTTTGCTCACAGCCTTTGGCAGGAGACACCTCCCGTCTAGCGGGAGCATGCATTCAAATCTTGTGGCCCCACTGTCGAAATAGCCAATGACCAGCAGGCAAGAAAAGGTCAGTCCAGTGAGGAGATGTTCAGATAAGAAGTCTGATAGCTTTGGCTGGTATTAGACACTCATGCCCGGTCCAGCCAATGGGGCCAAAGAGATGAAATAATCACTGACTAAATATAGGTCCTAGCTCATCTTCTAAACAAGAACCAGGTTAGCAATAGAAAGATCTGTGGAGACACAGGCATCCTGATAGAAAAAAAAACACCAATACTGAACATGAATCAAACATTACATTATAATATAACTCACAAAATTATTTAATTATCAAGTCAATTAAAATAAATATCTGCATATTATATGTATGTGTGTAAATGTGCATATATGCCTACATACATGGAGACTAGAGGTTGATGTTGGTGTCTTTTGCTATCACTCTCAACCATTTTTTTTTTTGAGACAGGGTTTCAAAATGTAGCCTTGACTGGATTAAAAGCTATTATGTGGACCTCGATTGGGTTCAGACTCAAAAAGATTTCCCAGCCTGTGCCTCCTGGGTACTGGGATTCAAGGCCTGAACCACCATGCCCAGCAGCCTCACCTTTTGAGAGAGGGCCTTCTCACTGAAGCTGGAGCTCACCAGTTGTCTAGCCTGACTTTCCAGCAAGACCCTGGGAACCCAATCTCTGCCTCACAGTACCCGGGTTACACACACACACACACACACACACACACACACACACACACGCACAAACATGTGTGCCAATCTACCTGCCTTTTTATAAAACGGGTGCTGGGATTCAAACTCAAGTCCTTGTGCTTGAGGAGTAAACACTTTACCCAATGAACCTTCTCCCAAGTTCCTGAAAATAAACCTTAAAAATTAATGTCTTTAAAATAAATAGAATAAATAAAAAATAAAATAAACAAAAAGGTTTGAGGCCAGGCTGGTCTACAAGATGAGTTCCAGGACAGCCAGGACTATTACACAGAGAAACTTTGTCTCAGAAAAAAAAAGAAGAGGAAGAAGAAGAAAAAGAAGGAGAAGGAATAAATAAATAAATAGAACATGCCTACTCTACACTGAATTGCAATCTGTTCCTTTACATCATCTTTTACCCATGTGCTTTGTTCTACCTCTTATAGAAATACCTGTTACATCCTTGTTACATTAAACAAGTTTAATTCATTTTCTATATGAAAAATTCAAATATTTTAAAAAATATTTTATTTATTGTTTGAGTGTGTGCATGATGAGAGAGAGACTGTCAGTGCGCCATGTGTACATGCCTGTATGTGTAAGTAGGAACACCCACACACATGTAGAAGACAGAGGAGAAGGAGGGTGTCCGGGTCTGCCACTCTCCACCTTATTTCTCTGAGACAAGGTCTGTTCCTAGACCTGGAGCTGGGTGGTCAGCAGCCACAGAGATCCTCTTCTCTGCCCACAACAGCACATGGCTGAGTTTTTACGTGCATGTTGGGAATTTGAACTGTGGTCTTCATGCTTACACAGAACGCGCTCTGACCCGCTCACCTCAGTAGCTTAACTTCAAGTGTCTGGGATCAGTGTATGTGGCTGGCCTCCTTGTCCCTCCCCTTCCTCAGTTCATGAGGCACTGCTGGTTTCTTCCAGGGTAGCATGCCATGTTCTCTGTGTGGCTCTCTCTGTCTCTCTCTCTCTCCCCACTCTGTCTTTTTCTGTCTCTCCCCTTCCCTCTCCCCTCCCTTTCCCTCCCCACCTCTCTCTTTGCTGACTCTTCTTCCCTAGCCCTAATAACCCTATCCATACCTCCTCCTTGAATTTTTGCCTTGGCTCTTTTCGCTTCCTTGCTGTTTAGATTCTCCTTGGCGATTCCCACTGCCCACTACTTTATCACTCCGTATGTCAGCATTTCCATGCTTTCTAACTCTGGGCTCTTCCTGTGAGGGCTAATCTGTTCTAGTTCCTAATACTCAACAACACCCTTCTCTCAAGAATCAAACTCATACGTTGTATAAATTAGGCTCATACTTAACTGATTATCAAAGACAGCTCATCACACTGGTTAAAAACAGTGAGTGAATCTGGGTGGTCGTGATGCACAACTTTAATCATACCACTTGGGAGGCAGAGGCCAGCGGACCTCTGTGAGTTCAAGGCCAGCCTGGTCTACGGAGTGAGTTCCAGGACAGCCAGGGTTACACATAGAGAAATTTTGTCTCTAAAACCCAAAAGCAAATCAACCAAAAACAAATAAACAAAAACACCCAATCAAACAATGTCCCCCCACCCCACCAAAAACCAACCAAACAAACAAACAAAAAAACCAGCAACAACAAAAAACAGCGAGTTCAAGAAGCAGGCGGATCTCTGTGGGTCCAAGGCCAGCCTGATGTACAAAGCAATCTCCAGACTAGTCAGGGCTACAAAGTAAGACCATGTCTCAACAAACAAAGAAATGAACAAAGAAACAAACAAACCAGAGAGTTCTCAGAGTCACAAGAAGTTCAGGGATGGTTGGCAAGATGGTTGTGAGGAAGCCCCACCTTCTACTAGACTCCTACTATAATCCTTCATACCATAAAAAATGTCGGGTAAGTTATAAACGGCTGTATAAGCAGGAACTGCAGTGATGTGCATTATATTGGTAAATTTTCCTGTGCTGCTTAAATTTGTTGAAAGCACACTCTGGGAGAAGGAGGCCCTCCCTTGTC